GCCCGGGGTGCTCTCTCCTCCGTGGTGGCCCTTAGCAAAGGAGCAGGGATGGGGTGGGAACGTGGTGGCTCGTCCTCTCCCCACGGCGAGCCTGCCCCAGCAGCTCCCACCATCCTGGTGATAGGCAGCAGCTCCTCCTTTCTCCCTCCATCACCCCCCAAATGAAGCCCCAGCCGCCTTCAGTCTGGCCTTTGAAGGTTTGGGGCGGTGAGGACGTGCAGCGGCACCACCATGGGCTTGAGCAGCCACAGACATCATGTCCTGCTGGCCCATCCCGTCCCCCCTCCCCACGCCCTGCTGGGCTCCGACGGACACTTTTGGGGTCCCCACCAGGCCCAGAGGGACAGAAGGGAGTGTGCACGGGGCGCTTGGGCCAAAAAAAACCCTGGGCGAGGTCCAGCGCTCCCCAGAGCCACGGCTTGGGCTTCCCCAAAGGCAGAAGGGAAGAAAGCTCCCCCTTGGGTGGGGTACGCCAGTTTGTCCCCATGCTGTGGGGGGTGATGGGACATGGCCCCCCATGCTGGAGAGGGGTCGGTGCCCTCTGCCCCTTCAAGCCATCGGTCTGGCCGTGCTGGGCTATTAAAAATTTGGGAAACGGCAAAGGCAGGGGGCTGAGTCCATGTGAATGGTGATGTCCCACGGGCAGGCAGGGTTTGCCATGCGGAGCAGGGCTGGGGTGGCAAGGGCAGCCAGGGCACAGATAAATGCTGCCAATAGGGAGCCAGCGGGGAGAGGGATGCTCCTGCCCGTGAGGTGCAGCGGCCAGAAGACACCTGGGAAGGCACAAAGCAAATAAATCCTGGCAGCGAGGAGGTGGAGGACTGGGAGGTGGAAGAGGAGGAGGAGGAGACGTGGGGAGCATCTCCCCGTGGAGGCTGGTGTGCCAGGTTGGTGCCCCTGCGCTGCTTTGGTGGGCGCCCTGCTGCGGTGCTGGCTGGGATCATAGAATCCTAGAATCGCTTTGGTTGGAAAAGCCCTTTGAGATCATCGAGTCCAACCTTTAATCTAACCCTGCCATCCCACCAGAGCAGACGCCGACCCCCCCTCACTACAGCCTCCATCAGGCAGTTGTAGAGGGTGATCAGGGCTCCCCTCAGCCTCCTCTGCTCCAGACTAAAGATCATAGAATCATCAAATTGTTTAGATTGGAAAAGCCCTTTAAGATCATCAAGTCCAACCGTTCCCCTAACCCTGCCATCCCACCACTAAACCATGTCCCTAATGTGATGCTCTGCCCTGGCTCTCGCCCCCACGCTACTTTGGGGACCTGGGGTGAGGACCCAGCCCCAGGAGATGTTGAACCGCTTCAGGTCACATCAGTTGGCTAATTTGGGATATTTTCTTCTCTTTGGGCCTTTCACCCCCCAATGCAGGGCTGAGACCTGCCCGCTCGCTGCACCTCTGCAGGGGTGGCTGGAGGCACTGGCGCTGCTCTCAGTACCCCCCCCAAATTGCCCGCGGTCCCTGGCCGGCCCCAAAAATACCCCACAGGGCCCTGACCGAGCAGCTCTGCCACATAATTAGGTTAATGACAGCGCTTCGTTATGGAAAGACAGCTGACGAGTTGGCACGGGTGCTGGGAGCCGTGTTTCCAGGCGTGGGGGCCGCCCGGCAGATTTGGGGCACAGAAGGGGAGAGGGAGCAGGGAAGGGGAAGCAGAGGAAAGGGAAAGCGGCAGCAAAGGGCTAATCCCTGGAAAGGAGGGCAGCCGGGGCGCCGCGCCGCGCGGGGTTGGCGTTAATACCTCACCCGCGAAGATTGTGCCCGCAGCCGCCGTAATCTCCGCTCCGAGAGGGCGACGCTGGGGATGGGAGGGCTGGTCCCTACGTGTGGCGCCGAGTGTCTCCTGTCCTCCAGGACCTCACCGAGCCTGGGGCTTGGGAAGGATTCGTGCCAGCGGATGAGACCTTGCTGCAGCCGCACGGAGAGCAGAGGGGATGTGGCATCCCCACCTGCGTCACGAGTTTGCAAGGCCTCTGGCTGGATCTCTTTGCTCCTGCGCTGCCCTGGGGGTCTGTGTCCCCCGTTATCCGGGGGGTGCTGGTGCTCACAGTCTCCTACGTGTGCACCATCAGTGGCACAGAGTGGGGGGGGGCCGGGGGGGGGGGGGGGGGGGGGGCGGGCAGCACCCTGGGGGAGGCCAGTTTGCAGCCCACCCACCCCATTTTTCGGTTTCTTTCCACCCCCCCCAGACGAAAGCGATGCTCGCCGGAAAGCAGGCCTCCCTGCCAA